ACGTGAGTTACCGCCCCGTTTTCCCCTTATTGTGTTGCTTCATGTTTCAATATCGGTATTAGAGTTGATCGGGTGTAATTGAATTGGTTTTGGTTGAAAATAAGGCACATAGCCTCTAGAAGGAAGCTTGTTTTAGAAAAGTCAACCGGAAGTTGACTATGTAGTTAGAGGGCTCGGATGTGAGTTCCGGTGGTTCGGGTAGCTTCGGGGGATGATTTGTGACTTAGGAGTGCGATCGGAATGGAATTTGGAGGTCCGGTGTAGAATTAGGCTTGAATTTGCGAAGTTGGAATTTTGGCGAATTCCGGTTGATAGGTGAGATTTTGATCCGAGGGTCGGAATGGAATTTCGAGAGTTGCAGTAGCTCCGTAGGGTGATTTTGGATATGTCTGCAAATTTTCAGGTCATTCGGACGTCGTTTGGTCGGGTTTTTGATCGAATGCGTATTGCGGAAGTTTTTAAGAAACTTAGGCTTGAATCCGATGTAAATTAATGGTTTTAGTGTTGTTTGACGTGTTTTGAGGATTGGAGCAAGTTTGAATAAGGTTTTAGGATGTGTTGGTGTTTTTGGTTGGGGTCCCGGGGGCCTCGGGGTGAATTCGGATGATTAATCGGAAGTTGGAATGTTTGGTGTTGCAGCAGATTTTTGAGGCTTCTGGTATTTCCGCATCTGCGGAAAAGGAGCCGCTTAAGCGGTTCCGCAGATACGGTAGGGAGATCGCAAAAGCGGCCCTTGAGGGCCTGGGCAGTTACCGCAAAAGCGGAAGTTTCTCCGCAAGAGCGGACACCGCAGATGCGGTAAGCGACCGCAGAAGCGGTCCTGGGATTATTGTAGAGACCGCATAAGCGGTCATTGGGATCGCATAGGCGGCAACCGCATAAGCGGTTTAAGACCGCAGAAGCGGTCGTTGTGGGTTTAAGTAGAACTGCATAAGCGGTCAATTTGCCGCATAAGCGGGACCGCAGGTGCGGTCAGGAGACCGCAGAAGCGAAAAATGCTGAGGGTTAATGAACAGTGGGTTCAAAATTTCAGAAGTTAGAAAAACATTTTGGGACTTCGGGAAGAGGCGATTTTGGGCGATTTGGAGAGATTTCATAGGAGATTCCATCAGGTATGAACTTGTAGCCTCAAATAATGTTGTTAGGGTATAAAAACAAGGATTAAACACTGCAAATTCAAGGAATTAAAGGGTAAAAATTGAGGTTAGGGCTTGAAGCCTAAGAGAGTCTAAATTGGCGAGT